CCTTAGGTCTAAAGCTCATGTACCGGGCACCATGCAATATACAAACAAGTACAAAACATACATTTCAAAAACAATTAATTTTTTAAATTAGTGGGTTAATTACAATTTACGCCCTGACAATTTCCAGATCTGTAGTTTGGTCTAAAAGTTTCGAAACTTTACAACTCAGCGAGCGTTGTCCAAACTGGCGCTGGTGACGAAACAGCGCTCGTTGCGGCGATGAAACCAGCGCTCATCATGGCGATATAAAGCATCGCTGCAACGATCGTCCTCTGGACGAGCGCTGGTGACGAAACCAGGGCTCGCCATGGTGATTGTCCTCTGGATGAGCGTTGTACGAAAACAGCGCTCGCCGCGGCGATATAACCCATCGCCGCAGCGATCGTCCTTCGAACATGTGCTGTACCAAATTGTCGCGCGTAGAGCGTGGACATCAGCATAACCAATGCACACTTCGGCGATCTAATTCATCACCGCAGCGAGCGCACTTCCTAGTGTGTAGAGGCTAAAATGAAAAGTTTCAAAACTTTTAGACCAAACTGCCAATCTGTAAATTGTCAGGGGGTAAATTGTAATTAACCCACTAATTTAAAAAATTGATTGTTTTTGAAATGTATGTTTTGTACTTGTTTGTATATTGCATGGTGCCCGGTACACGATCCTTAGACCTAAGGGTGAATGTTTTAAAATATTTTTGGGTATGTATGGTTGTATAATTTATTAAATAGGGCCTCCGTGTCCTGCCTTTCTCCTTTTTCTCGATGTACATTCTCTTCTTATCTAGTTCCCCTTGAATATAAATTGAGGTTTCTAAATTTATTGATGTAAAGAATTTTTGTATTATTATTCTTTTGTAAATTTAAAAGTTTTGTAATGTACTTGGAGATGGAGCAAAGAACAAGGCAACCATACTTGAAGACTCGAGATGTTTATTACAGGACCCCTAGGTGACCCATCGATTCCTCTAGGCTCGAGGAAATTGGTTTTAGTTGGGCCATGTACCGGCACGTTTAATTTTTGTTTAGAATACATGCTCAGGTTGAATGTTTAATAACATGCCAAACAATGTCATTCTAACAAAGATAATAATTCGATGAGACATTAAATAAGAAACCCCTCAACTGAAGTATATTAAGTCATGTAAGCCTTCCATCACCATGGTTTTAATCAAACCACTGTTCGTCGAAACCTTGTTCGCCAAAGCGAAGGGTACACTTCTACCTATGGGAGGTTAAAATGCATTAGAGTTTTCCTTAATGGTGATGGGTCGACTTGAAATGATAGTTTTGTTTGTTTGCCAAAGCAAAGGTTGATAAACACGTCATAGGCATAGTAGAGCAGTACACATATTGTGTGTACGTGGTGACATGTAATGTCCACTCTACTGATACTGAGAATCACACTAGAGGAAAATGGTTGGAGCCATTGGATTGTGTGATTGGCTTGTTGGCTTTTTCACATTTGAGGTTGATAGTGGGAGCTATCAACTGGTGTGGATTAAGTTTGTTGTCCTACCTAATCAACTCATTTTGGCTTGTTCACCAAAGCGAAGGTTTGAAATGGGCAGGATGGGATCTCAGTTCATTAGGAAAGCCAATGGGCTTTCCCGAGTTAATAGTGAGGGCTATTGGCTTGAGTAAAATAGTGGGAGCATCGTTTAATAAAAGACCATATTAAATAATAATGAACTTTATAATAACTTTATCTTTTCTGCAATTGTAGATTCACCGAAAATGAGTATTATGAACCTGCGACCGATAATCGAAAAAGAAAACAGGTTGGATGGATCCAATTTCTCAGACTGGTATCGTAATCTTCGGATTATACTTAAGTCAGAAAAGAAATTGTATATCCTTGAAAAGCCATACATGGCTGAGCCTGATCCTGATGCCACTCAGGAAGTTAAGGATACTTATCAAAAGTTCCTTGATGATGCTGATAGCGTACAATGCTTGATGTTAGCATCGATGACACCTATGCTGCAAAAGCAGCATGAGAATATGGATGCTTCTTCCATAATTCTACACCTCAAGGAGCTTTATGAAACAAATGCTCGACATGAGAGGTACAAGGTGTCGAAAGCACTGTTTGGGAGTCGTCTGACTGAGGGTGCCCAAGTTGGTCCTCATGTGCTCAAGATGATCGAGCACATTGAGAGGCTTGAGACTTTGGGATGTGGCTTGGATGCAGAATTACAAATGGATTTAATTCTGCAATCCTTGCCTGACTCATATGCTCCGTTCATAATGAATTTCAATATGAACACGATGGAGAAAACCCTGTCAGAACTTCTGAACATGCTGAGGACTGCAGAGCAGGACTTGAAAAAGTCCAAGCCTGTTTTACTGGTTGCTGCCAGTAAAGCAAAGGGTAACGGCAAGGGTAAGGCCAAGGCCAAACCCAAGCCCAAGCCCAAAGGACAGGTTGCTCTTGGGCCTGAGAGTGGCATAGGAAAGGGCAAGGTAGTCTGCTTCTTTTGTGGCAAGCCTGGCCACTGGAGGAAACACTGCAAGGCTTTCCTCGCAAGCAAGAAGAAGTCAGAGGCTACGACTTCAGGTACTTTCATGATTGAGATTAACTTCTCTCCCTCAACATCTTGGGTCATGGACACAGGATGTGGTACTCACATTTGTACTGATGTGCAGGGACTAAGGCAGAGTAGAGTGCTCGCCAAGGGAGAGGTGGACCTACGAGTTGGAAATGGAGCACATGTGGCTGCATTAGCTGTAGGGACTTATTGTTTATCTTTGCCTACGGGCTTATTGTTGGAACTACATAACTGTTATCACGTACCTTCTATTTCTAGAAATATTATTTCAGTATCCGTTTTGGATAATATGGGGTATCATTTTGAGATATCTAATGGATTGTTGTCCTTTAGTTTGAATGGTATTCTATTTGGAATTGCAAGGTTATATAATGGATTATATGTTCTTGATTTAAACAATAAAGATATTCTCAATATTGAAACCAAGAAAGCTAAACATAGCGATCAAAACCAAACATATCTCTGGCATTGTAGATTGTGTCATGTTAATAAGACTCGCATTGCAAAACTTCAAAGGGATGGAGTTTTGGCCCCTTTTGACTTCCAGTCATTTGAGGTATGCGAGTCATGCCTGTTAGGCAAGATGACCAAGTCTCCTTTCACAGGACAAAGTGAAAGGGCTACTGAGCTGTTAGGCATCATCCATAATGATGTATGTGGTCCACTAACAGTTGAAGCCAGAGGTGCATATTCATACTTTATCACATTTACTGATGATTTCAGTAGATATGGTTATGTCTACCTCATGAGACATAAATCTGAAGCCTTTGATACATTCAAGGAATTTAGGAAAGAAGTACAGAATAAGTTAGGCAAAAGTATTAAAGCTCTTCGGTCGGATCAAGGAGGTGAATACTTAAGCTTAGGGTTTTCAAAATACATGAAGGAATGTGGGATAGTATCACAACTTACCCCTCCTTATACACCCCAACACAATGGAGTGTCAGAAAGGAGGAATAGGACCTTACTTGACATGGTTAGGTCCATGATGAGTTTTAATGATTCACATGCATCGTTCTGGGGTTATGCCGTAGAGACTACGACTCACGTTTTGAACCGTGTGCTGTCAAAGTCTATAGATAAGACTCCATATGAGCTATGGAGTGGGCGAAAGCCCAACTTGTCTTATCTAAGGATCTGGGGTTGTGTAGCTTATGTTAAGAAATTGACTTCGAACAAGCTCAGCCCAAAATCCTGTAAATGTATATTTGTGGGGTATCCAAAGGAAACCAAAGGATATTATTTCTACCACCCAAAAGAGCACAAAAATTTTATTGCTCGATCTGGTGTCTTCCTAGAAAAGGAATATTTTCTAGGAAGTACTATTTGGAGAAAATTAGAACTCGATGAAGTTTTAGAACCACAAGATATACTAGATGAAGGATGGGATGATGTGCCACAAGAAGTGGTTGAGCATCATGAGGAGGTTACTCCACAACTTGTGGAACAAAGTGAACCACCTCAGGTAGGACAGGAGCTACGTAGATCTGGGAGAGTACGCCATGAGCCTGAGAGATACGGTTATCTCGTGACTTAACATGGCGACATACTAGTCTACCAAGACGATGAACCCAGAACCTACGAAGATGCTATATCAAATCCAGATTCTGTTAAATGGCTTGAAGCTATGAAATCTGAGATGGACTCCATGTACCAAAACCAAGTGTGGTCTCTGGTGGAACCACCTGAAAGGGTAAAACCCATAGGGTGTAAATGAGATTTCAAGAAGAAGACTGACATGGATGGCAACGTGCATACTTATAAAGCACGACTGGTTGCCAAAGGTTTCAAACAAATTCATGGCATTGACTATGAAGAAACCTTTTCACCGGTTGCCATGATTAAATCCATTCGAATTATGCTTGCAATAGCTGCATATCATGACTATGAGATTTGGCAAATGGATGTCAAAACTGCTTTCCTGAACGGAAACCTTGAGGAGGATGTGTATATGACACAACCTGATGGTTTCATTCTTGTTAGTCAAGCTAATAAGGTATGCAAGTTGTAGAGATCCATTTATGGACTCAAGCAAGCTTCAAGGAGTTGGAACATTCATTTTGATGAAACCATACAAGAATTCGGTTTTATCAAGAACGAAGATGAGCCCTGTGTTTACAAGAAAGTGAGTGGGAGCATAGTAGCATTCCTAGTATTGTATGTCGATGACATACTTCTGATCGGGAATGCTATACCGAACTTGTAGTCGGCAAAGACTTGCTTATCCAAGTGCTTCTCCATGAAGGACTTAGGGGAAGCAGCCTACATCATTCGAATAATGATCTATCATGATAGATCGCGTAGGTTGCTTGGCCTAAGTCAGAGTGCGTATATTGACAAGGTGCTGAAAAGATTCAGTATGGAAGAATCCAAGAAGAGATTTCTTCCGATGTCACATGGTGTTTATCTCTCTAAGGAATTGTGTCCTAAAACACAAGATGAGAGAGATATGATGAAGAGGATCCCATATGCATTAGCAATTGGATCCATTATGTATGCCATGCTATGTACTCGGATTGATGTCTCATGTGCTTTGAGCACTTGTAGTAGATATCAATCGGATCCAAGTAAGCGTTACTGGATGGCTGTCAAGAACATTCTTAAGTACCTGAAGAGGACTAAAGATACGTTCTTGGTTTATGGAGGGGAAGATGAGCTCACTGTAAGAGGATACAGTGATGCTAGTTTCCAAGCGGACAAAGATGATTATCGATCGCAATCAGGGTTTGTATTTTGTCTCAATGGTGGTACAGTGAGCTGGAAGAGCTCCAAGCAAAGCACTGTAGCAGACTCTACAATAGAGGCTGAGTATATAGCATTGTCAGATGCAGCCAAGGAGGTAGTTTATATTAAGAAGTTCATTACTGAACTTGGTGTGGTTCTTACAATTGTTGATCTTATAGACATCTATTGTGACAGCAATGGAGCAATTGCTTAAGCCAGGGAACCACGGCCTCATCAGAAGTCCAAACACATACTTAGATGATTCCATCTCATCAGAGAGATAGTTGAGAGGAAAGACCTGTAGATTAGTAAAGTGCATACTGACGACAATCTCGCAGATCCATTGACAAAGCCTCTGTCGCAGCAAAAGCATGAAAGGCACTTGAGATCATTTGGTATTAAATACATGAATGATTGGCTATAGTGCATGTGGGAGATTGTTAGAATAGATGCCCTAGAGCCAATCAATTATTGTAGAATTGACTCTTTGTAATAATGTTCATTAATCAATAATAAAAGGCATTTTATTCTATATCGCGTAAATCATTATTATTGCAATATGTATTGATATATGTCCTTAGAATGGTAGAACTATGACGAGGGTATCAAGTGTTTCAAATCTTGATAGTGAGAACCCTAAGATTTGGATTGAGATAACGTTGGTTAGATTAATAACATAAAGCATGACGATTACGGTGAAATTGGATACACTAGACCATTTCCCACTTGTTAATCTTTGATTACTCATTGTTTTTGTTACATTTGGTAACTTAGAGTTCAGTTTTGGTATATTTGGTAATTCTAGTGTTTTTATTGTGATTTTAGATTAATTTAGTTTGCTGGTCCATTTTATTATTTCTTTTAATTTCGTTTTCTTGGTTGATTTTGCACAATATTGAATTAATTAATAGCTCCCAATTCCCTGTGGGATCGATCCTTTCTTTGCACACTAGCTATAGTAGCAATTCGTGCACTTGCAAGGATTTAACTTTGTTTGTATTATCACCAACAAGTTTTGGGCGCCATTGTCAGCGAATTGTTTGAGTTATTTAATCTCTTTGATATTTGTGCTTTCTTTTTGTTAATTCGATTTTTATTTCATTTTTGTTGTTTTTGTTATTTTATTGTTATTTTGTGTATTTTTGTGTTTCGATTTTTCTTTGTTGTTTTAAGTTTTTTTTTTTTTTTTTTTTTTTTTTTTTTTTTTAAGTGCTTCCTTATTTTGACAAGGTGAATTTGATCGGTAGGAAGAGAAGAGAACCTAAAAATTTGGAAGAATCAAGTGCATCAAATTTAGAATCCAAATAAGAAATGGTGAACCCACCCGTCTGATGAAGGAGTATGCGCGTCTTACCATTGGAACGTCGCCCTCTTGTATTGTTTTGAGTGCTGCAACGAGGAATTATGAGTTGAAGAGTATCCATTTTCAAATGCTTCCTTCTTTCCGTGGGATGGCCACCGAAGATCCATTGAAATTTATTAAAGATTTTTACTCAACCGTGCAAACTTTTCCTTTGTAGGGTTTGACTGAAGATCAATTGAGGATGAGATGTTTTCCATATACATTGAAGGACGTAGCAAAGAGTTGGTTCATCTCATTGGCATCAGCTTCACTTATCGCTTGAGATGCGGTCTACAACAAGTTCGTAGGTCAGTTCTATTCTCATGCATAGACTACAAAACTAAGACGTAAAATTGCTACTTTCTCTCAACTTGATGGTGAGCCATTCCATGAAGCTTGGGAAAGATTTAAATTGATTTTAATTCAATGTCCACATCATAGATACCCTTTAGAATTGTTGAATGAGTTTTTCTATGATGGACTGACACAGGCTTGCCAAGCCATAGTTGACAATGCTGCACGTTGTGCCATGGGAGAAAAGACTACAGAGGAGACATATGAGTTGTATGCAATGCTTGATGCCAATTAACAACAGAATAGTATTAGAGGGAAAGCAAAGGGAATCTATGAAGTGGGTGCTAACACTGAGTTGGCGATACAAGTGTCCAAATTGACAAAGCAAGTCAATACCATATGCAATATGATGATAGGGCAAGGATAGAGTAGTTCCAATAAGATATGTGCTATTTGTCGTAATGTTGGCCATACTACTAATGTTTGTCCTTCAGGTGAGAGTTTTCTAGAGGCTATGGAGCAAGGGAACATGATGAACTCTTACAACCAAGGAGGCCACAATCTGTATTCGAACACATACAATCTTGGGTGGAGGAACCATCCAAAAATTTCATGGAGAAACAACCAGCTGCAAGGAAGTTCTGAACACATCATGCAACCAAATAAGCCATCATTGGAGGAGACATTGAACAGTTTCATTCAAGTTTCTCAACAGACAAATCAGAACTTCGAGAAGAGTTTCCAACAATAGGATGCATCCATAAGGAAGATGAAGGTCCAGATAGGACAAATTGCAGAGTCATTATGAGGCCATGTCCCTAGGAAGTTACCAAGCCAATCCAAGCAAGTGAAAGCGGTCACAGTTTTGAGGAGTGGTAAGGTAATTGACAAGAACTTAAATTCTGAAACTAATGAGCCTTTGTTTGATCATGCAGGTAAAGAAAAAGTTGAGGAAAAGCAACCAAGTGCACCTGTTTAGAGTGAAGAGATCGATCCTTCATATGTGCCACCGAAGCCATATGTTCCACATGTGCCTTTTCTGGTTCGCTTGATCAAAAGCAAATGGGATAAGTCATTTTCTGATATATATGACATTTTGTCTAAGGTTAAAGTGAACTTACCCTTGCTTGATATGATTAGGAACATGCCAGCTTATGCAAAATTCTTCAAGGAGTTGAACACTCACAAGCGTAAGTATGATCGGAACGAGAAAGTGATGATTTCAGAGACTGTGAGTGCGGTGCTCCAATAAAATTTACCACCCAAGCTGAAAGACTCAAGGAGCTTTGTTATCAACAACACTGTTGGTAATAAGAAAGAAGAAAGAGCAATGTTGGAATTGGGTGCAAGTATCAACCTCATGTCATATTCCATCTATCAGTAGCTGGGACTGGAAGAACTAAAACCTACAATAATGACCTTATAATTGGTTGATTGTTCAGTGAAATATCCAAGAGGTATTATTGAGGATATTTTAGTTCAAGTTGGAGCGGACTTCAAACTATAGCAGTGAGTTACCTATTTTGCGAGGACGTCCCTTCATGGCCACAATAAAGACCATCATCGATGTGCAAAATGGAAAGCTAAAAATGACAGTTCTTGATCAAACTGTTGAATTTTCAATTTTTAAATCTTTATCTTTACCTTCAGATACTAATGATTGTTTTACAGTTGATTCTTTAGATCCTATCATTTTGTCTAGTTTTCTATAGGAAGAGATCAAAGATAAATTAGAGTTGGCTTTGATAGCAAAAGATGATGAGTTGAGTGATGATGAGGCTAGGGAGTATAGAGTGGATTTGGATAATGAGATTAGGGACATGTTTGATGAGGAATTGAGGATGGTGATTGAACATGTTAATGTCAAGTTAGTTTCTTCCATGGAATCCCCACCTAAGCTTGAGTTAAAACTTTACCACCGACCCTTAAGTATGCTTACTTAGGAAAAGATCAAACCCTCCTCATGATTATAGCTTCCGCCCTAACCATAGAGGATGAAGAGAAATTGCTTAAGGTGTTGAGTGATCATAAAGCAACCATAGGTTGGACAATAGCAGACATCAAGGGAATTAGCCCTACTATGTGCATGCATAAAGTGTTGTTGGAAGAGGATTCCAAACCAGCTAAGGAAGCTCAAAAGAGGTTGAATCCGCATTTACAAGAGGAGGTGAGAGTTGAGGTGTTGAAATTACTTGATGTTGGGATCATTTATCCTATTTTAGATAGCAAATGGGTGAGTCCAGTTCATGTGGTACCAAAGAAGTCAGGCTGCTGCAACTAAAAAGGAACACTTTCCTCTTCCTTTTATTGATAAAATGTTAGAAAGATTGGTTGGTTATTCTTATTATTGTTTCCTTGATGGTTTTTCAGGTTACAATCAGATTCCTATGGCTCTGGAGGATCAAGAGAAGACGACATTCACATGTCCATTCGGAACCTTTGTGTATAGGAGGATGCCCTTCAGATTGTGCAATGCTCCAGCCGCATTTCAAAGGTGTATGATGTCCATCGTTTTTGATATGATTGAGAAATTTATTGAGCTGTTTATGGATGACTTTTCTGTTTTTGGATCATCATTTGATAATTACCTTGATAATTTAACTTTGGTTTTGAAAAGATGTGTTGAAACAAATTTGACATTGAGTTGGGAAAAAAGTCATTTCATGGTAAAACAGGGAATTGTTCTTGAGCATGTGGTATCTAGTATGGGTATTTAAGTAGACAAGGCTAAGGTTGATTTGACTGTTAAATTGCCGCCACCCACATCTGTGAAGGGTGTGCGGAGTTTTCTTGGTCATGCAGGTTTCTATATGCGATTTATAAAGGATTTTTCTAAGCTTAGTAGGCCTTTATGTAATCTCTTGGCTAAAGAAACATCTTTTGATATCAATGATGAATGCTTGAATGCTTTTAATATTCTAAAATATAAACTCACATCTACATTTATTCTTTTGTCACCTGATTGGTCCCTTCCATTTGAATTGATGTGTGGCATTTGATTATGCATTAGGGGCAGTTTTAGGATAAAGAGTAGGGAAATTGCATCATGTTATTCACTATGCGAGTAGAACTTAGAATGCATAGATTAATTACTCCACCACTAAAAAAGAATTCTTGGCTATTTTGTTTGCTTTAGAAAAATTCTGCTCTTATTTGATTGGTTCTAAAGTAATTGTGTTTTCTGATCGTGCTACATTGTGATATCTGTTGAGTAAAAAGGATACTAAATCTAGGTTGATTAGATGGATTTCATTGTTGCAAGAATTTGATTTGACTATCAGGGACAAGAAGGGAAGTGAGAATGTAGTGGCTGACCACTTGTTTAGACTTGTGGAGACAACAAGCCATGAAGAGCATAAGCAGGATGGGGAGTATCCCCTCATTGAGACATTCCCTAATGAGCAACTCTTTTCCATCCATGGGAAAAAGCCTTGGTATGCTGACATTGTTAATTATCTTGCATGTGGTATAATTAACTTTCATTTGACTTTTCAAGAAAAGAAGAAATTCTTATCCACGGTTAAGCATTACTTTTGGGATGATCCTTATTTGTTTAAAAGCTATCTAGATCAAATAATAAGGAGATGTGTTCCCAATTCAGAACAGTAGAGCATTCTAAGACATAGCCATGAATCACCTTGTGGAAGACATTTTGGTGGAAAGAAGATGACACTTAAGGTATTACAGTCTGGATTTTATTGGCTATCTTTATTTAAAGATGTTTTTACCTTTTGTGCAGGATGTGATCAATGCAAAAGGACGAGAAATATCAACAAGAGATATGAGATGCTGCTTTTGACATTCTTGGCAATTGAGTTGTTTGACGTATGAGGCATCGACTTCATGGGTCTATTTCCTACCTATTGTGGCTACACTTATATACTTGTGGCTGTTGACTATGTTTCAAAGTGGATTGACGCCATTGCCACGAAAACCAATGATGGTAAGGTTATACACAATTTTCTTAAGGATTTGATTTTTACTCGTTATGGCACCCCTAGAACTATTATTAGTGATGGGGGTAGTCACTTTTGTAACAAGTCCTTTGTAGCATTATTGAAAAAGTACAACATTACACATAAAGTGGCAACACCTTATCATCCTCAAACTTCAGGGCAAGTAGAGGTAAGCAACAAGCAGATTAAGGCCATTTTTGGAAATAACGGTTAACATGTCAAGAAAAGATTGGGCTTCGAAATTGAATGATGCTTTATGGGCATATTAGACGGCTTTCAAGACTCCACTTGAGATGAGTCCCTATAGGCTAGTCTTTGGGAAAGCATGCCATTTACCAATGGAGTTGGAGCATCGGGCATATTAAGCTATCAAGAGATTGAATGAACCTTGACATGGACAAAGCTAGAGAAGAACGAAAATTGCAACTAAATGAGCTGGAAGAGCTTAGAAATGAAGTGTATGAGAACGCGAAGATCTATGAGGAAAGAACTAAGATGTACCATGACAAAGCAATACAGTGGAAAGATTTCCATCCAGGTATGAAAGTGTTGCTTTATGACTCACGATTGCGTCTTTTTCCATGGAAATTGTGTCAAAATGGACAGGGCCATTTGAAGTTCATAAAGTGTTTCCCCATGGAGTAGTGGAGATAGAAAACTTGAAGACAGAAAGCTAATTCAAAGTTAATGAACACCAGCTGAAGGTCTACTTGGACAATTTTTCTCAAAACAAGGAAATGGTATACCTCAAAGAATTAGAGTGATGATCGAGTGTTCCATCTAGCTTAAGACGTTAAACAAACGCTTCTCAGGAGGCAACCTGAGTGTTCATTTTTGTCTTATTTATTGTTTTTCTTCTTATTTTTTTTTTCAGTTTACTGTTTTGATTGCATTAGGAGTTTGTTATTTTGTGTATTTTATTTTATGTGTTTGAATCTCCAAGAAATCTGACATCTAGTTTAATTTTTTTCCAAAAAATCCACTTCACACCACAGTGTAATTGATTCAAGCTGGGGCACATTTTCAGCATAAAATCTGATGACATCATAGACGCGCTTTTATGCCGCAGCTCAATTTTATGCGCCTCAGCACAAATTCGGCAACTTTGAAATTGAAAAACCGTAGTACATAAGGGCTTAAAATTTTCATGCTGCGGCGCGTTTTCATCGCTATTCATTTGAGTGACAAAAAACCGTATTATGCTAGGGCACATTAAAGTATGCCATGACGTAATTCGCAAATTATTTAAAGAATAGTAGTTCTCCATTTGCTCCGCAATGCACAAAACTCAATTTCTCTCAAAATCTTGGCGATTTTCATCACTCTTGCTAAAGTTATCACTTCAACACCCATAAACAAATCCTAAACACTTAATAGACATTGATTTTGCGAGTTGTGGATCAATTGAGTGCTAGATCAATTTGGGCATTTTTATTTTTAGGGAAAAAATTCTCCAATCAAAGGTATTTGATTGCTATTCGTGTGTGGGTAAGCATCCTGGATAACCCACTTGTGATTTTATTTGAATATTTTGTTTTAGATTGTTGAGTTGAGGTGATTGATTGATTTTGGGTGTTGATTGAGCAGGATTGTGATTGGATTTTGCATTGATTGTGCATTGCGTTGTGATTGGGAGTGTTGCTGAGTAGTTGCTGTGTAATTGGGAATTAGGTGAAAGTGTTTGCGGATTTTTATGCTATTTTAGGGAGTTTCAGTGTTCAAATTTTGGGATGGCATCACACAAGAGGGGTAGAGATGTGGGTAGTTCTAATAGAGGTGCTGGAGGTTTCTCACGGGACGCCCATGACCCTAGATTTGTGAGTGTTGCTACTGAGGAAAGGTATAAGGAAAATGCTATTAATGCTAGTGGATTCCTTGATGAGCGGGTCTTTGATTTTAAGAGTCCTTATGAGGGAGTTATTAATATTATTAGTGATCTGAGTTGGGAGGAATTTGCAGCCCAATCGGAAGCAGCTGTTGAGCCTCTCGTTATGGAATTTTATGCAAATGCCTTTGAGAACAGAAATGCAAGAATTAGGATTAGAAGGAAGGAGGTGAGATTTGATGTTGAGATGATTAGCTAGTTTTATGGGTTACTAAATATTTCTGAAGAGGACGATGCTTTCTCCAAATTCCTTAAGGACCTAGATTATGATGAGGTATTACAGTGTTTGAGAGACGGTCAAGGAGAGTGGATTCTTGGTCGGAACAACAAAAGAAAGGGTTTCTTTGCGACTTCACTCACAAGGTGTGGGAGTATTTTGTGTGTGCCAAGATCTATCATTCGGGGCACCTTAGCACAGTTGAGATGTAATACTTTCTCTCTAGCTAGTATACTCGAAAAATAACAGTAAAACTCACTAAATATATATAAGAAAATATACATATAGATAAGGATAAAATAATGGGCCCATAATTAATTTTTCTTTATATACAAATCTTTACATAATATAATAAAGTCACAAAATAGTATCTCGACAGTGTCACCAAACCCTTCTGCTTCTCGGCGTTCCATGCGACGGCGTCTTACCTACTAGTTGCAAAAACATTGAAAACAACGGGGTGAGCACTAATTGCTCAATAAGTAAACCCGCTATGCTACTCTTCTCTCTCCGTTGCTTAAATTATGAATTTCTTTCCTTACATCACACTTCTCTATTCTTCTCTGTTCTTTCTCTATTCTTTCTCGGTTTTTCCCCGTTCTTTCTCAATTTCTAATTTCTCACTATAATAGGCATGGTATTATGCATAGGTATGATGCAAATGCACAAATGCATAAAATGTGCATTTTCTTTTCCATTTTTCTTATTCTGTTTTTTGTATTTCTTTTTTTCTATTCTTTCTTTCTTTTCTTTTCTATTCTTTCTTTCTTTCTTTCTTTTCTATTCTTTCTTTCTTTTTATTCTTGTCTATTCTTTATTTCTTTCTATTCTTTCCTTGTTTCTTTTTACTCTTTAATATTCTTTAATGCTTTTTTATGCTCTCAT